ATACGGTTATTCCCTGTTCTACCCCTTCTTAAAGAGGGAAGTTGGCTGGTCTAGTGGTTTAACACGTGCGCATGAAATTATAAGGTCTGTCATTGAGTCAAGTGACGTGGTTTCAAATTCCCGGTTGTGTGTGACAAGGAGTACAGTCGCCTGTCCAACCTCTTCGGTTTTCTCTGTTTCCTTCCACTGTTAAAGACCCCTAATTATTGAAATAGGGTTGAACCATGTTAGTCCCGAAATGACCTAGTTTGTGTCAAATGGGCGTTAAAACCCATTTGTCTCCGCTTCTTAAAGTCTCTCAAGCAGAAACAGCCAAGACTTTCTTCCGGGAACTATAGATGGTAGAAATTGAGGGTATCTTACATGCAGCACATACAACATACATTAACAACAAAAGCAAAATCTTCAATTATAAAATTTATTTATCTATATCAATATCACCCCCCCCCCCCCGTTCCCTCTCCTGCAGCTGTCTCCTCCTCCTCTTTTCCCCTCGTATTTTTTTTTCTTCCCTCATTTATCCAACCAGTTTTTTACAACATGTTTAAAATTATTTTCCACCGCATCCTTATTATGGTGGAGTTTGATCACACCTGCAATAAATGCAAAAAATGTACATAAAAAAACATATTTTTACTTCTTTATATCAAGCATGGTTTAGGGGTCTGTCAATGCAAGTGTCAATGCGTTAAGTCAGATAGTTCTTATTTTTGGAAAAAATGTATTAGTTATTAGTTAGCCCATGATCTCTTCTAATTTGATAAGCTTATTTTTGTTCTCTCTGTTGATTAATTTGAATTCTGTTGACGATGCCAAGGCAAAAGAATAGTTAAATGAAGTTATCTAAATAATAAAATCACATAAATCTTATCTAATTTAATATTATCGTAGTGAATGTAATAAAATATACATATCTTTTTGTCTTTAACATAAGTTCAGTGAAAATAATACACAGTTGTGTAGCACTGCAATGTCTTCAGTTTCTTGTTAATACTAACTTCTATTAAGTTATTTTACTGAATTTTAGAATTTATACAATCGTTAACATGTCCATAATCTTGTTGTTTATTTATGATTTACATTGTCACTTTGTAAAGTGCCCCTGAACATGTTACATGAAAGGGTGCACTATAAATATGCTGTAATAATAATAAAACTAATATAGAACTCCAGGACCACAGCACCCAGGAAAATTCTACTGGAAACTAGAAGTCATATTCTGAGCCGAAATTTATTGGGTTGATATTTTGAGGCATTTGGCCAGTTGGATATGGGCCATCTCTAGCCCAAATATGGCAAACTTCTCGCATAATATTATTTTTTCAAAAGTTTTGAATATAAAACAAAATTTTTTAAACCTTTTAACAAACTGTCAAGATGTTCTTAGATACCAGTTGCAAAAATAAGTTTGATTCATCAGTACTATAGTGAGCCAATAGTTGCCAAGTGTTACCTAGACTATGGGCCACATGTGACAACATCCAGCCAGATCAGGCGCAGATCCAAAGGGAAAGGAGAACAAAAATACTTAAAAATGGTAGTGATCCCCGTCGTAATTTACTCCGAAACGAGCCGTTGGTGACTTGGTTGATTGCCCGTCAGTCCGCCCACCGAGGGCCGGGCTTCGCACTCCCAAGTGGGGGCAGCACGCCCCCCCCCCCTTCTGAAAATCCTGGATCCGCCCCTGCAGATGTTGCCATAGATGGGCCATAGTAGGGCCAAAGCGTAGTGGCTGTCTGTGTGGGCTGTCGCTGAAAAGTAGTGTCCTGAATTTGAAATGGGTCGCTGCGCGACTATGGCTACTCGCCATCTGGGGCCAGGCGTCCAGACCAAAAAGTCATCGGATTTAAGGCACTTTATTACATTAGTATTTTTCCCCATTTTACCCGTCTGCCAGAAAAATCGGTTTGTCCAGTTTTGTATTCAAACAACTGAATTAGAGACATTAATGACGGATTTGGCACCTGTTATCGTTTACGACGGAGTTTCAGCTACTGAAATTCGGGTCTAAGCTATCGCCCCAGATATCTATTAGTAGCGTCGTGCATTAGACAGGGTAATCTTACTGATTTGGGAACACGTGATAGGCCTACCACTTTTCATTCAAGGAAAAACTCAATCTGTTTCACAGAGAATTACGAGTCTAGTGATATATCTCTGTCAAAGATGACTGCCTTAAAGGGACAATAACACTCTTGCTGGCTTGAAAGCTCCAGAAAATAAATAATATCTCTATCTAAGTACTAGATGTTTAAGTGTTCTACCTGTTGTGTAAATTATCCATTACATCCTATTTTACTTGTCCAGAGGGTTCGAAAATATTTTTAAATCGAAGTTTCATTTGAAAAGGTTTACGTTAGACGTTTCAAACCATTATGTTGAATTTTTCAAAATTTTTAAATAAGGTGTGTTAAGATGAAATTTGTATCATCAATTAATTGAAATATTCTAAAATAGTACAATTTGTTGACCAGAATAAAGATTGGGACATATTATTCAGTTACAACACGAATGGTATTGAGCCTTTAACACGTCAATCATTGGCTGAATGGCGCGTGCATTGTTTACATAAGACGTTACTGCTTCGGAGAGAATGCTGCATTTTAGTCATTTCAATACCCATTTACACTAAATAGGAAATAATTTTTACCTACAAATATGTCAAACGCCTTTATTTATTTTTCCAATACATAAAAAAAATGTTTTAGAATTTAATTTGTCGCAGGAAAAAAGTTAATATTTCTGGCTCATTAAGCCGCATCGATGTCATCCATATCAGTAATTGTAGCGGCCTACCAAATATTCACTGCGGATCAGTGTGGGAAAAACTAACTTACCGTTCTAATGTTGTATTTCTAAATTACTTAAACATGCATTATGCAAGAGCAAAATCTGCTTATTAAAAGTCTTTCTTTAGGCCTGAAATGTTATCTAAATTATCAATTAGACATTAATTAACTTATCCAGACCATAATAAACTCTCGATGTCAAGGCTAGCCTTCGATGTTGGCTGGATTAGATTCCTATATGCCGCTAACGGCCGTTGATAATTAAATCAATAAAAGTGGATAATCGAGACTAAGCTGTTTATAATAATGATTTTAGTAATGATGACCGAGACTATGCCAAAATTTCACCCGCTTCTTTCTCGGCTTATAGTGGATCAATTTGACTGAAATTTTCAGCAAATTACCTTTACACTATCTAGTTTTTAACTATTATAGCCAGAACTGCGATCTCGTTATCTTATCTCCCATAATGTATCTTTAAATAATATTAAGATAGGTTGTCGCATATTTATTCTCTTGTAGGTAATTAGGGGCATTTAATAGACAATTTCATACATATGAGATTATAATTTTCGTCGTTTGGGGGTTCACAAGGTTCTAAAAACTAAAACAAGGGCCGTAACACTGGAAGTAATCTACAGAAATTGTTGAAATTCGACAGGCTTTTTCGTTTTACTAATTCAAATAATGCATATAAATTTCATACAGATCGGATGATAACTTTTGTCGTTCGAACGTTCACAAGGTTCAACAAAGTAAAGCAAGGGCCATAACTCTAGAAGTAATTGGTGGAAATTGCTGACATGCAATAGGCTTCTTCATTTCCCTAATTTAAATGATGCGTATGAATTTCATACATATTGGGTGATAACTTTTGTCGTCCGAGCGTTCACAAGATTTAACAAAGTGAAACAAGGGCCATAACTCTAGATGTAATTAACGGAAATTTGCTGAAACTCAATAGGCTTGTTCGTTTTACTAATTTAAACGATACATATAAATTTCATATAGATAGGATAATAACTTTTGTCGTTAGAGCATTCACTTAAGGTACAACAAAGCGAAACAAGGGCTGAAATTCAATAGGCCTATGATTCTTCCGTTTCACTAATTTAAATCATGCATATAAATTTCAAACAGATCGGATGATAACTATTGTCATCAGAGCGTTCACAAGATTTAACAAAGTGAAACAAGGGCCATAACTCTAGATGTAATTAATGGAAATTGCTGAAATTTAATAGGATTCTTTGTTTTACTAATTTAAATGATGCATATAAATTCCGTAAAGATCAGTTGATAACTTTTGTCGTTAGAGCGTTCACAAGGTGCAACAAAGTGAAACAAGGGTCATAACTCCCGAGGAAATTAACGGAAGTTATTGAAATTAAATGGGCTTCTTCATCTCACTAATGCAAACATAAATGTAGCCTGTAGAGTGTTCACAAGAAATTGTGGACGACGGACGGACAGATGGGTACGGACCGACCGACAGGGGCGACATCAATATAGCCTACGACCACATTTCCACGTGGGCGAATAAAAATGTTTCAATATTTTGAGAAAACAAATTAATCAACATGTTCATATCTCTTTTGTACCAACATTATTTATATTTATAGGCCTACATTCGACCTCTTCTGTGATGGAATGGGTTTGTCGTGCTTGCACGTGAAAGTTATCGAAAATTAACACTTTTTCGCCCAGCCCGAATCACACTGAACAGAAGTGAATTTTCGCTAGGCGCTACAATCACTGATAAGGATGACATCGATGCGACTTAATGAGCCAGAAATATTAATTTTTTTCCTCCGACAAATTAAATTCTAAAACATTTTTTTTTATGTATTAGTAAAATAAATAAAGGCGTTTGACGTATTTGTAGGTAAAAATTATTTCCTAGTATTTATTGCAAATGGGTATTAAAATGAGTAATTTTGCCCTTACTAGAACGTCTTATGTAAACAATGCAACCGCCATTGAGCCAATATGATTGACGCCGCGTGATGAGATGTCACGTGTTAAAGGGAGTCATCTTTTACAGAGATATTAGAAGACTTTCGTAATCCTCTGTGAAACAGATTGAGCCCATAGACTATAGAGCTATATATAGCTCTATGATTGAGCCCGTCTATTTAACATTTTTGGTGTTCGAGGCTATGAAGAGAAAACGCCTGGATGTCAAAGTCTATAAAAGGTTCACGAGAGAAGTTCACTCGAAGTATTAACCCAAATTAATCAGTTGTCTCGACTGAAAGTAAATAATAAATAGACAAGGATGTTCAATAAATGAGAAGCGTCTATGAAACTATACAGATCTAATTATAACGTTTAGTTAGCACAGTCTTTGACTTTATTTCGGTAGGTTTTGTTTACTAAAATTAAGGCACATTAACATAATAATTAATATTTATAAAATTAGGCCCCCCCAAAAAGGTTGAAGCAATCTCATTACCAAATAGGGCCTAATTATAATGTGCACCCTCCATTCAAATTTAACACAATCTTCACATTTTGCGAAATTAATCCGCCCTTTTGACTAGATGTTGGACAATAAGGCTAGTGCGGGCCCAAGTCTCATTTTCAAGCAATCACGAAGAAAACCCACAACTTTGAAGTCAGCAAGTTTTAAATTAAAAAGGGAGACTACTCCTGGAAGAGAAATATTAAAGATACATTATGGGAGATTTTGATAGAGAGTTGGCCATTCTTGCTATAACAGTTCAAAAATAGATGATGAAAGAAGAATATATTGAAAATTTCAGTCAAATTACTTTATTCTGAACAAAGTTATCACCATTGTAATTTTTGACTAGAAATAGCAGTCAACTGACAACTCTCTCTTACTGTCTCCGAGAATGGCTGATCGTTTGATTGACAGGTGTTAACTCCACCTACATAATCTCGATTATCAAGTAACGTTTTCAATGGCTGTGGTACCGTTAGTCAATCGGTTTGAGACGGGATTGCAATTCAATTCGTATCACATTTATTTTTACTACAAATTAAAAATAAGACTTTAAATATATAGATAAGAAGCGAAAGTTTGAATATATGGACCAAATCAATGAGGCATAATTATAGCCGACTTCTTGTTAGCCTGCGTGTACTCTTGTACTGTAACTGGTAGGCCTACGTAATTCCCGAAGCAGACAAATACTAATAGGAAACAGTGATCCAATGGGGCTGCAATTCAACTGGGGTGATGCGATGTTTATCAATTTCCATAATTTTTCTGTAAACGCAAGTGACAAAAGAGCGTATAATACCGACATCCAAACTCTCATTTTAACCACAACTAAACATAATATCAAGGCCGTATATATATCAAACTTTCAATCAAATTGACTGACATGCGGCCTTGCTAAACAGCTGCCTCGCTTCGTACACTCTATCATTTGAAATGAAATGAGGTTTAGCGTCCTAATGTTTTGCTACTATACTGGGCTAATGAAGACGGGCATATGCCATACAGTGTGCTATGATGGAAATTTTGCCCGCACAGCGGCACTATCGCCTACTCTTATATCGGATTCCAACTGCCAAGGGATCTTTTACGTGCATTCCAATGTATGCACAGGACCTCGGTTTTTCGTCTCATCCAAAGGACTAGACAGCTGTCCTTGTCAGGCCCTCCATTCTGCACCACTGACAAGAGGAAACCACGTCGGAAAATTCCGATGAACTTTCTCAGCCAATGCAGGGATCGAACACCCGACCTCCAGGCTAGCGAGCCAGCGTCTTAACCAACTAGCCACCATTTAGCCTCGATCTAAAATTTCCGGGAGTATGACGTCAACGTAACGGTTAATCTCCGCTTACGACGCCATTTAAAAATTTAATCAGTCAATGAAATCCTGTTTAAATCCAAGCCGAATCCAAGCTATCCGTGGGTCTACAGAGTTGATTTTGTGCTTGTTGTGCAAATAAAGATCTAATTTATAATTTCTAGATTATGGACCCTGATTGTTCGAAAAATTGCATTTTTAGCTTGTGGACCCACTAGAAGTTACAATTTGCCTTCAATTTTAAAAAACGTCTTAATATATCACCGTTACACATCAATGAAGGTTGACTTTGAATTTCGTAAAAATCTGACCGAAACTGCTAGACAAAATGTTTGCTCCTTGTACGTAAATACTAAGAAGTATGTAACTAATACCAAGCTTGTGGACACTCTAAAAGTCACAATTTTTATCCAATTTGAAAAAAAAACATTTGAATTTATACCGTTACACCCTAATGACGGTGGAGTTCCAATTTCATGAAAATCGGACCAAAACTGCCTGACAAAATGGCAGTTCCTTGAACGCAAATAGTGTAAAAGTATGTCATACCAAGGTCGTGGACCCTCTGGCTCTAGAAGTCACAATTGTTATCAGATTTTGATGAAACTTAAAATATATGTTTATGTCCCAAAGATCTCGATTCGGTTCCTTTCGTTATTTGCGCAAATCAGACCGTAACTTCCAGGATTATGGCCCCTGAATGTATGAAAAATCATGTTTTTTAGCTTGTGGATTCTTTAGAGGTCACAATTTTTTATCCGATTTGAAAAACAGTTTAAATATATCACCATTCTGCCATTCTGCATTCGTATTTCGGGACAATCAGAACAAAACCCGACAAAATGGCCGATCTTTGCATGCAAATTGTGTGGTAAAGTGTGTAGTACGAAGGTTGTGGACCCTCTAGAGGTCACAGTTTTTATCCGATTTTGATGGAACTTAAAATATATCTTTGTATCCCAGAGATCTCAGTCCCTTTCAATATTTGCACATTTCAGACCATAACTTTCTCAATTATGGCCCCTTATTGTACGACAAATCGCTTTTGTTTTTAGCTTGATCTCTATCCATCTCTTGCAAACTGTGGGCGTATATTGCCTGGCAACTGCTGGTTGACATTTTTTTTTCCAATATTTGTTTTATTGTTCAGTTAGTTCTAATGAGTAACCCAATCTAAATTCTTAGTCTCAGAACAATTATTTGTAGTTGCTACACTGTCACCAAAACTGAATTTGGAGATATTTGTTTTCGAACTTGTTGAAATTGTTTGGCTAATCAAAACTTATTTCATGTATGATTTGTTTATATTATGCTTTCTTTATATTTCAGTCAGAGTCAATTTTTCATATTGAAAACCTAACCTATGTAGTGAAAATGGCTGAAAAGAAGTCTGACATGTGTGATCCAAGTAACATGGAGGATTTAGATGAACTAGAGCGATCTATTCTCTCTCTATGCGAGGAAGACAATACTGAAGAAAACATCACTATAGTTAGAGTTGGAGATACAGTCAGAGAAGAACAATATGGATCCTTCCATATCTCGCCTGCTAAATTAGCAGGAATACAGCTTCCAGTATGCGAGAAAAAGGAGTCCCTACTCAAGTCCATCTTTCATGGCACTCCTTCCAACTTATCTCGACTTTCACCAATAAAAGCTGATAAGTTGTCTTGTGATCTCAATGTAATGTCCCCAACAACACCCATTACACTCAAACGCAAATGGAGCAACACGACTATGATAAATAAATTCAGTAGTACACCTTGTGCCAATGCTCCCTCTCTTCCAAAGAGATTAATACTGAATACAAACAATCAGGCAGCATTGTCGTCATGTTATACTATAAATGAAACGATCGAGGAAGAAAATAATGAAACCTTTGAGGATTTGTTGGAAAGTGTATCCATCCTGTGTGATAAGCCATCTGATTTAAATGATAAACCTCCACATGACCGGCTATCTACCTCATCTTGTTCTTCCAGTAATGTCAGTCAGATTGATATGGATTCCATCTATACAAATCAACACTTTGTAACTACAGATGAATGCAGTGATACCACTATTCAACCAAATTCAAACATAGTTAATGATGAAAACTTTTTTAAAACTTTTGATCAGACCGGCTCACCATTTAGAGGTAGATTTACAACATTTAGTTATTCCCGTCCTACTTTAGATGACACTACCGACGATGATGAATTGGATTTGATGGATAGTGATGTCAGTGTTGATATCTTAGGACTGGACAATTTTATCTTCTTGGATAAAGATAATTCTGCTGAAAAAAACATTACAGCATTAGACGTAACTCTCGTCAGTGATGGTAGTACTTTAAAAGATGGTAGTACTATAATAGAAGAAACAAAGACCAACACACAAATTGATGATACAACATATTTTGATGGTTCAACTATTCGTACCAAGAGAGATGAAGGTTCCACTGTAGCAGATAATTTGACTACTAGAGAAACACAAGGATCAGAACTGAAAGTGAGTGACACTGAAGCTGAAGACTCCATTTCAACAGCAGGTTCACAGCCTTTGAAGCGGAAATTAAATGAATTAGAAATATCATTGTCAGAGTTCACCAAAAGTAGTACGGATGACGAAGCCTTTCGAGAACCAAAAGCAAAAGAAAGAAGGATTGAATCCTTAGACACTAACCAAACTGTCACCAAATCGCATGCTTCAGTTACAGAAATATCAACAGAAGATCAAACTTTATCATCTGAAAAAGAGGATGAACTGCCTGTCAAACAGAATGAAACAATCAAAGACACGCCAGAAGATAATCAGACTGATTCAGTGCATGATAAAGCTGTAGAATCAAAAGAAAAAGAGACTCCTAAAACATCCTTAGTAACAGAAATTAAACAAGAACCAAGTCAGATCCAAGTTGCTATGATCACGCCATTGGTGCATGAAGTTAGAATTATCTCCCCTCCTCCAATGCCAGTCGACAGTAGTGATGAAAGTGTTGTTGAAGTGATAGTTGTTAATGAAAGCATTGAAGTTGTAGATTTGACTGATGATTCTCAAATAACTACTGAACAACAGATCACAGAAACTAATACTATTAACAAAAGTGAAAATCAGTTGACTTTACAAGCTGAAAATGAATTGATTCGAAAAATTAAGTCACAATGGGGAATAGAAAGTGTCCATCAGTGTGACGATAACTTAACAAGTAGTCGATATGCTAAGCGAAGAACATCCAGATCTGATCCATCAACACAAAATAATGTCAAATGTTACCTTGAGGGAAGCAGCCGCATTCCGCCTTTATTTCAGGGTGAAAATGAAGCTACACGATCCAATTTAAATAAACAGGCTAGAACAAGGGTTCAGCAAGGCCGGTCGCCTTTCGAGATCGCTGCTGGTATTCAAGAACAAATATTAAGTATACAATCAGACTGTCAGAAAAAGGTAAATATGATTGAAAGTGGTTCTAATGTACGATGTCATCATTTAACAAATGCTCATAAACATCAAATAACAATGCTACGACAAAAGCAAATAGCAGAATTAAGAAATGCGACCAGATTCATGGAAAAAAGTCCTATGAATGTATATGCTCAATATCGTAGTATACAGTTAAGAGAGGATCATTTATGTCAAAGAGAAAGTCTTCGTCGCAGGCACAATGATGAGATGCGTGCTCTAGTATATGACATTGAACAAGAAAAAAGCAAAATTTTCGAAGATGGTGAAAATGTTAAAAAGAATTTAGAAGACATGATAAATAAATTAAGAGCCACAACTAGTCAGGATGTGGTAGATCCTGATCGTGTTCACACTACTATTGACCTGTATAAGGGTCCGTGTAAATCAAATCATTATAAACGTAGTCTTGTAAAAGTTTGTTTACCAGCTGATATAGCTTCATACATGATACGTGAAGATGAAATGTACGATATGTTGTATAAATATACATAGAATTTTTTAGTTTGATGATGATACAGATCAGTAATAGGATCACAATGGTTGAATATATTCATAAGGTTTTATAAGCATGAATGTTCACCATATAAATTCATCACTACTACACATGTTGAGTTTAATAGAATTTATAGGGCATGTTAAAGGAGCTAAATCGCTAACATTTGGGACCTAGAAATTGACAAAAGTAGGTCGCAACACATATACTGTAGTATGAATGTATATAAACTGATTTACATTCAATGGTTCCCGTTTTTACTCCAATTTCAAATCAGTTATGTTCGGCGAAATAAGTCAGCAGTCTCAAGCGAGTGCAAATTTCTAGCATCTGGTTATTCCAGTCTACATACGCCGTTTGATTTGGTGCAATGTGTCTAGCCTAGTCCCTGTAGTCTCTTGATACAACTGGGGCTGAAGCGCATTATGGTACACGATTCGTGTACCAATGGTAAAATGTTTATTTTGTCTTAAATATTGGATATCAAAAGCCCATCTTTTTCCGGTAAGATCACAACATGAATGTTGATTTAATTTGACAAATAAATCGTGTTTTCAATGTTGAAGATTTGGGATGATATTGAGTTAGAGACTTAGCTACTTTAAGCCATATTTTTTTATTAGTTGAGGAAAGATCTGACAACACAGGACTGTCTTCAACATAAATCGAGGAGAATGTAAACTCTAACCATATACACATTTTGGAAATACATGTATCTAGATTTATGAAGATGGACAGATCTACATGTGGACACATTTACAGGATAGAAAATTTCAAAAAAGGAGCTCAAGTATAGGTCCAACTCCAACAGTATTGTTGTTATAGTGATACTAATTTATGGCAAAACATGAGTTATTTATTCTGTGCATTTAGAAGTTTGCAATGTTCCTTGTATTATATGTTTTTTATTGTTTTATATCTTTATAGTGCTGTTATTTTTATGTAATAATTGGCTATAATTTGTTTGTATGAAATAGAATGAGAAGTTTTGAAAGAATGAATAATTTTTTTTGGTCTAAATCTGGTTTAAAACAGTCTATATGGATATATATTTTACCATTATGAATATGATTGGAATATTAATTTCACCATAAAATGTATAATGATTTGTTTTTGTTCCTACATTTAAAGTCAGAATATTGGTGTCAGTGCTACTGTCGACCATAAAATGTCTTCTTTCTTTTTTTCGAAGGCTAAACAGAATTTTGGGTTTCTGTCTGTTTTTATTTGCCAACATTTGGTCGTATATTGTTCTAAGCCCCCACCCCATCTGTCATCCACAATAACTTTTGAACACTATACATACACACTGCATTTATCATATCTTTACATTAGTGAGATGTAAGAGTCTGTTGAATTTCAATGAAATCTGACCAGCCCTTGATCTCTTTATAGAATCTTGTAAACGACAGAATTTATCATCCAGTTAAATGATAGTGAAATGCAAATTTCTGATAATTATTTACAGAGTTATTGCTCTTGATTATATCGTAGAATCTAGTCAGAATGCCGATAACATAGAGTAAAACGATTTTACTTTTTTATTAAAGATGTATGTAAGATCTAAAATTGCCCATTGCCATACAGGTCTTTATTTTGACCTCAAATGTTACATAAATTATTAGAGATTTATTCACATTAACAACCCTCTAGACCATGGATGGTGCTGATATTTAATGGATTGAAACCTTATTGCCATTTAATAATTTAATTTATAAATGGATTATCGAGACTTAGTTTATTAACAATGGTAGTAATGAATATCGATACTTCAAACACTGATAACTTCACTCAGAATAAAGTAATTTGACTGAAACTTTCAATATATTCCTTTTTCATTATCTATTTTTAAACCATTATAGTGAGAACTGTCAGTTCTAAAGACTCACTTTACAACAACAGTTGTGGACTGCTTGGATGACTAAGCTGATGTGGGCATATGTTCCTGTCTTGTTGGTGCAGAAATATAGGACAATAAAACACATTCATTTCATGTGAGTAGCAGAAGCATGTCTAGGAATTTAAGCAGAGGGGGGGTCCAGGGTGGAGACAAAGTTTGGTGTTGTGTCTGGGTGATTTTATAAAATCGGACGCTTTGAGACAATATTTCTATTCTGCTGATTTAGGTTCATACATGTACATGTACCTTAATCAGCAGAATAGAAATGTATAAGAGTAGAGAGGAGTGAGGCCGAAAACACGGCAATGCATCACAAGTTTGTTTATTTGACGTTATTTCAATGAATGCAGGAAAAAAATATGCGAGCAGGGTAGGGTTCGACCCCTGCCTCTGGACACACACTTCTGGGTAGTGTAGAAAAATTTGCTGCTGAGTTGATCTGAAATTTTCATTTGCAAACACTTATTTTTTATTTCTTTGTGAGAGTAGTCTATTGAATATGTACAGAATATATTATGTAATGTATCAAAGAAATTTCTTCTCTTCCAAATTCAGTTCAGCCTGATAGATTCCTAGGTGGATGATGTTAGTTCATTGATAAATTTGAGTGTTCATAATACCATTCATTTGAATTATTGACCAAATGTTTCAGGTCTATGGACTTCATATACATACATACTGTCAAGTGTGGAGTATTCAAAGTATTTTTTTTAAAGTTAAATAGCCCAAATAAGGATTTATTTGTATTGCTTAAAAAATAAATTCTAAATATTTCATTACATATAAATACTTAAATGTATCTGTAATAATTGTATGCGTTTGAAGTTAATCACACCCATGTCAAATATATTTTAAATACATGTACATTGTATGTGTTTTAAGTCGATCACACCCTTGTCAAATATGTTAAATATGTGTACATTGTGTGTGTTTGAAGTTGATCACACCCTTGTCAAATATGTTTAATACATGTGCATGTGTTTGAAATTGATCACACCCTTGTTAAATATGTTTAATACATGTAAGTTGTATGTTTACCAATCTGATTAAAACACAGATCCTATTTCGTTTCGTTTTTTATAGTTCAAAATTTCGTTTTACTTGTCTTTACTACACTAGGATCTGGAAGAGTTGTTTTATAACCTGCGTTCTGTTTAATGTGATGGATTACCCAATGAAAGGGTCTGTTACAGCGAGTTCTTGGTGTGCGATGCATGGAACTGTGGGTATCCTACTAGAAACATCAACGCTAATTGGTTAATCAAATGTCTGATGTCATAGGGTCAAAAGCCGCTCATATGACCCCCTAACGCGACCCCCCACTACAACTGGTCAGAAAAAGATGTAGTAGAGGCCATCGAAAGTATAAAAAAGCGAAATGAAGTATAGATCTGTATTTTAATCAGATTGTATGTTTTCTGTATTTACAACTTACATTCTGGGGATGGCATTTCTTGTCTTAGTGATATATAGCTCTCATTCTGTTCTTGATTTGTGATCTGAAATTTGTACTGCCCACCAAAGCAGGCGTGGTTCCAGAGTGGGTTGGGGATATGGCTCCTTTCCTGTAAAGACTCCATTTGTGGGAACGTGGGTCGGATCGCCATATACATGTACAACGTTCCATTATATTAAATTTTCTGGGAAAGGCCGCCAGATCTCCTGTTGATGGACTTCATGACATGGCACTCGTGAATTGTCACTGTACAACACTTCAATGTACATTAGATCTAAAAAAATTGTCCCCCTCCCCTGCCAAGTTATATTTGATTACACCCTTTGCTAAAAACATGGTTTATAAATATATATATGTTTTATTTTGAATGTTAATCTGTTTTATTGTTATAAAATTCTTGAAATCACAGACTGTCTTGGAATTTATTAATACTTGTAAAACTAGCAGTGTGTATAATATAGTCCGATTCGGTTTGTTACATAATTCCCATCCGTCGGCTTTTCGGGTAGAAATCACGGAATAAGCTTTATTTTGTAGGTTTTGATGTTTGATTACAAAAAAACCAATGTTGACATTTTTTCTGAGTAGGTCTTCATAGTATGGGAGGCCATTATTTGAGGGTAGGCATTTTGCGATAATATTCCAACTTATTTTTTTTTATTTTCACCTTATTTATAATGTTATCGACATATCAACTGTGATTTGGCAATGTATTAATATTGGCAGGGTTTATGACTATACTTCAGATTGTTTTCTATCATTTCATGATGTTTCCAAGATGGCGACCATCTTTGGCGGAAAAATCTGACGAAGTGCTCATTTCGATTAAGTAGTAGTGTTTGGTGTCAATATACATGTATATGTTTTTGGGGGTCACAGATTCCATCCTGACATTTACAACCTTGTAAAATGATCACATGTTCATATACTTATCATATTTCCAAGATGGCGGGAAAATAGGACGATGTGCTGATATTGATTAAGTAGTCGTCGTTGGTGTCAATATATATGTTTTCAAGGGCACATAATCCATTTCGGCCAGTAACAACTGTGTAAAATGATTATTTGGCACATTTACAATATGACGGCGATTTTTGGCGGGAAAATGGAACGATGTGCGGATATTGATTAAGTAAGTAGTCGTCTATGGTACTAGGATATATTTTGGGGGGAGCAGATTTCATTTTTGCCGTTTACAACTGTGTAAAATTATCACATGTTCACATATTTAGCATATTTCCAATATGGCTTTCATGTCGGGCGGGAAAATGGGACGATGTGCTAATTTTGATTACGTAGTCGCGTTTTTGTGTCAATATTTGTTTTTCGGGGGCGCAACATTCGGTTTCTGCCATTTACAACTGCGTGAAATGGTGGTATGTTCACACATTCAGCATATTTTTGTTTGTGGCAGGACGTTTTCTAAACACATTACTGAAAAGGTTTCTGAATCCAATTCTGCTATGTATACATGTAAGCTTGTAGCATGTTCCTGGAAGCCCGTGCCGAGTTTACCCATTAGGTATATTATCCAACAATGTAGTAGTTGAACTCCAGTCTGATTTTAAGACTTGGTGGCGCCATCGAGACTTTCAGTTTATGTTTAACTATGATTAAAAATGTGTGACTTACAACTTTTGAAAAGGTAATTAATAAACTAAAGAGTAGAACAGAAATGTATGTTATTAAATATATAAAGTGGTGTGCAAAAAATAAAAACAAGGACTGCAAATGCAGTAGTAATACTTGCTATAAGAAACCTTTATGGCATAAGTTATATTATCAACTGACCTCAAGATGCGTGTGGAACAATCTGATTAAAATACAGATCTATATTTCGTTTTGTTTTTTATGCTTTCGATGGCCTACACTACATGAAGATCTGACAAGTTATAGCGATAGGTCACGTCAGGGGTCAAAAGATGTTACTAGTGGACTACCCACAGTTCCGTGCAAAACACGCCTAAAGCTCGCCGTGACAGACCGTTTCATTGGCTTATCCCTGACACCATTCAGAACACAAGTTAAATAACAACACTTCCAGATCCAAGTGTAGTAAAGACAAGTAAAACGAAATTTTGAACTATAAAAACGAAACGAAATAGGATCTGTGTTTTAACCAGATTGCGTGTGGAAGGAATCGTTCAGAGGATTGCCGTTGCGTTGGAAAAACAAACTATATAACCACTTAAACGACGCCGTGACCCGTTATTTATGAAATCTCTGCCATCTCCACTGGCAGTGATGTCAAAGCCAGCCACATCGTTGTGTAAGTGGTGACATACTTTATGTTTCCAACGCAATATCATTCCACATGCTCGTTCTACTTTCATCTTGAAAGTCAGTTGATAACATAATCTGTGCTATGAGGGCTTCTTAGCAAGTATTTCATTTACAGCCACGTCCCCACCACTATCATCCACGTTGCTGCCCGGGGGGGTTGGATGGCCGAATGGTTAGCACGCACGTGCTGTATCATAAGGCCTGTCATTGAGTCAACTGGCGTGGTTTCGAATCCCCGGTTGTACGTGACAAGGAGTAGGGTTGCCTGCCCAACCTCGTGGGTTTTCTCCGGGTCCTCCGGTTTCCTCTTCCCACTGCTAAAGACCCCTACGCGCAAGCGAATTATTGAAATAAAATTAAACCATATGTTAGTCCCGGAATGACCTAGTTGGAGTCGAGTGGACGTTAAACCACATTTCTCTCTCATTCTCTCTCCACGTTGCTGCCAGGCTGGAACGAAGCTCCTGGTCATATGCTTGCTACGCTGTTACGACCTTTATGTATATATAGGGAAGATACTGAGCCTCGTCCATCAGCTCCAGTCTAACACCCAAAGAGGAAACTATGAAATGTTCTTGATTGTTTGACTTTTGGTTGTTCTCTGCTTTGAAAGTGAATGAGGACGGGTGAGCATGGCGCATATACATATTATATTGTCACCAAAGACAACTACTTAATCGAAATCAACCCATATGTGAACATGTGATCATTTTACAAGGTTGTAAATGTCAGAAATTGATTCTGCGCCCCCGTAAACATATATATTGACACCAAACACTACCACTTAATCAAAATCTGCACATCGTCTCATTTTCTTGCCAAAAATGCCCGCCATCTTGGAAATATGCTAAGAACATGAACATGTGATCATTTTACAAGGTTGTAAATGTCAGGAATGGAATCTGTGACCCCGAAAACATATATATTGACACCAAACACTACTACTTAATCGAAATTAGTGCCTAGACCGATTTTCCCGCTAAAAATGGGCGCCATCTTGGAAATATCATCATGAAATGATGGAAAACAATCTGAAATATAGTCATGAATGCCGCCAATATTAATACATTGCCAAATTACAGTTGATATGTCGATAACATTATAAATAAGGTGAAAATAATAAAATAATTTGGAATATTATCGCAAAATGGCTACCCTCAAATAACCTCCCACACTA